TGTCACAGGTTATTATTTAACGGTCAAAGGTTTTAGAGCAAACATATTTTAAATTGATTACAAGAATTTTTTGGCTGATCTCGATGGCGAATTATCTGTATAATTTATTTACTAATTATCTTTTAGGTCACTGTGTACGTAGCTACTCGAGGTAGTGCCCGAGATTTCTTTGGTGAACATAATAAAATAGTACTAATTAATCTTGAACGATTCCAGAAAAACATTTGCTCGTTTCGTTTCGGAAATTCTCGTAAAGCTACACATTGGGCTATCTAAAATAGGTGACCCTAACTTTGAACTAAGAAAGGGGAAAACAGCTACTCTACAGTACTCACCGCCAACACTTGGACAATTATAATTGATCAATGGAATTTGATCGACACTCGCAACCCTAAAGTGGGAGCGACAATTTTCGACAACGGGACGCGAACCCTGGATCCTCGATTTCATATTCCGGCACACTAGCCACTTCGACATTTCTGGAAGGAACATTATGCGAACGCGCGAGTTTTCTATGCTTTCTCTAATTGTTTTAAGATCTCCTAATGTAATGAAGTTAGGCCTAAATTACATGTATAGAAAATAGTACGAAGTAATACTCTTTCACACTCGTCAAAAAAATAAGTGCTAAACATAATATCAAAAAAACGTACTTTTAGTTCTCAATGTTTTTGTTTATTTTTAAGTTAAACTGCACAATTGGTTATATGAACTGTGCCCAACGCAGAGGTTGAACCCCAAAGTTTCGCGTTATAAACTTTAATCATACTGCTGATTCAATTTACAATAACCTAAACAAGAAAACAGTCATACAATTGCATACCCCCTGTGGTCCAGGTGTTTAAAGACTTAAGCTAAAATCAGGGGTTTGATTTCCTGCGGTAGAAAGGGTGCAGATAACCCATTGTTTAGTTCTGTACACAACCAATTTCTGACAATGAAATGTTTAAATCCAGTTTGTTATTCATTTTTTAGTTCTGTACACAACCAAAACTTGTTCAGTTGTGACAATGAACTGTTTAAATCCAGTTTGTTTAGTTCTGTAAATAATTGAGACGTTTACCTGTGACAATGAACTGTTTAAATCCAGTTTGTTATACATTTGTTTAGTTCTGTAAATAATTGAGACGTTTACTTGTGACAATGAACTGTTTAAATCCAGTTTGTTATAAATTTTTTTAGTTCTGTAAATAATTGAGATGTTTACTTGTGACAATGAACTGTTTAAATCCAGTTTGTTATACATTTTTTTTAGTTCTGTGCACAACCAAAACTTATCCAGTTGTGACAATGAACTGTTTAAATCTAGTTTGTTACATAACCGAGATATGTTTACCGTCCAGAAAGACGCGCTGTTTAGGCCTGGCATGACCTGCAGGTTAAGGCGCCTGATTCGCAGTCTACGAGGCGGAAGTTCGAATCCCATCACCGGATATACTCGCCCTTACAGCCACGTTGGCATTATAATGTGATGAGAAAATCCACTTTTCTCTGGTATAAAAAAGTATCAAAAGAGTTAGCATTACAAGCGGTGTGAACCTAAAATAATTTCACCAATCGACTAACCCCCAAAGGTGTGAGGGTAGGGGGTTATATAATAATCCCTTGGTTTACAGGCCTTAAAAAAATTGAGTGTATTTTTCTGTAGATCACATTGTTCGTTGTGTTTTATTGAGTGTATTTTTCTGTAGATCACATTGTTCGTTGTGTTTTATTGAGTGTATTTTTCTATAGATCACATTGTTCGTTGTGTTTTATTGAGTGTATTTCTCTGTAGATCACATTGTTTGTTGTGTTTTATTGAGTATATTTAAGTGTCGTTCATACTTCTTTTCTAGTTCTTGTGTCATGTTTACGATTCTACTATGAGGAAACACAACTAGAGATTATGAATAACATAAAACGGTAACAAGACTGAAAACATATGTACATACATAAACATAACTGCTTTAAAAGCACAGAGAAAATTATACATTTACAAAATAAATACATGTACACGAAGGCACCATTTATTATTTATTCAAAAGCTTGAAAGGACTAGATAGAAACACACATAACCATCAACGTACCCTTACACTAGCACTCAATTTAAACACACTACCTAAATTGATCTGGTAGACACTTGAATAAACAGACTGTACCGTATATTATATATGAAGAGAAGACACGCAACAAATATTTGCTATTATACGATCGATTGATTGTTAGGGTTAACTATAGCACTATCTTTGAGTTGCTTGTAATTTGACGAGAAAACAACAACCACCACCAAGTGACATCGAAATCCTTACCGATAATTTCCTCTCTTCAGAACTCTTAACGGTCGAATCAACCCGTCCTTCCCGCCTTTGACTGATATTCGTTAGAAACTCGTACGTTTTGTTTGAAGCACGTGCACGCGTTTCGAACAGGACTGATAGCGGCTGCACCACTGTGGCGACGCCTCGTGGAGCATGCTCAGTAGTATAAATGAGTGACACTTAAGCGAACGTGCTGCTCGTACCTCGTGTTTTTGATAGGTGAGGCACGTCTATGTGTTACTCTTCTCAACGGTCTCCGGTACCGAGTTGCTTAACCACTCTTTAGGATTTCAACTCCTGCCTCGTCTTGCTAACGTGTGCTTCTAATTCAGGTTAAAAAAAAATATCCCAAGAAATAAATTGGATAAAATTCTGCATGGAAACGCCCATTCCATAACTCAAAAAATATGAAAAGTAATTTAAAACTTAGGGAAAAATTGTGGAATTGTAAAGTGTTCTTCGTACCCATCAAGATAAATAAAGAATTACAATTTAACAAGAAAATAAACAAGTAACCCCCCTAAACGAAATACATCATATTACGTCAATAATAAAATATTATTTTCAGTCTATTACTTCAACGTCACGTAAATTTCAAATGTTTTCATTCTATATTCCAAAGTCCACCAAATAAAAATGTTATTTTCAATGTATTCCAACATCTCGCAAATAAAAAAATTAATATATTTCAATCTATATTCCAATTTCATTCAAATGAAAAAAAAATCAACTAAATTCCAATTCATACACGCAAATATTAATGTAAAAAATATTGGATCAACTTTGGTTACGGATATAACTGGTTATAAGAGTATTATAACTTACAGAAAACTAATCTAGCTACAAGCCAAGCTCTTACGAGTATTTATAGCGTTTGTAAATTGATGTAAGTCTTCGTATAAAAGTCGCCTGGAGTGCTCTCTAGGATCATTTATTGGTAAACAGAAAAATTATAGTGAACAAAACGTATTCAGAATTAATTTATGGTAAAGGTTATTTTATAGTCGAACGGTAATTCATACATTCTGTGAATTAAATGAAGGTAACAGGTGAAGAATGTACATAAAACACAAGAACAATGTGATCTACAGAAAAATACACTCAATAAAACACAATGAACAATGTGATCTATAGAAAAATACACTAAATAAAACACAATGAACAATGTGATCTATAGAAAAATACACTCAATAAAACACAACAATGTGATCTACAGAAAAATTCACTCAATAAAACACA